GACTTGTTTTAATTGTCTTCAACTTCAAGTTGAACTTGCATATGAGCAGTTGATGGTCTGTTCCACAGTCAGCTCCTAGCCTTGTTTTGGCTGAAGATGTTGAGCTTTTCCATCACCTCTTGCCACAGATGTAGTCAATCTGATTCCCGTGTACTCCATCTGGCAAAGTCCACATGTATAGCCACTGTTTATTTTGTTGAAAAAAGGTGTTTGCAATGAATAAGTCATTGACCTTGCAAAATTCTGTTGTGCAATCTGGACGTCATTTGTGTCACCAGTGCCATATCAGTGATTCTTCTGTTTCTAACCTTCACATTCTAATCACTAGTAATAATTACTAGTTATTATTAATTGTAGTTGTATGTTCAGTCAATTTCAAGCTGCAGAAGTTGATAAAAATCTTCAATTTCCTTATCTTTGGCTTTGGTGGTTGGTGCATAAATTTGAATGATTGTAGTATTAGCTGGTCTTCCTTGTAGGCATATGGATATTATCCTATCACTGACAGCATTGTACTTCAGGACAGGTCTTGAAACATTTTTGTGATGATGAGTGCCGCACCATTTGTCTTCAAATTGTCATTCCCAGCGTAGTAGATCTTATGCTGTCTGATTCAAAATGCCCAAAACCAGTCCATCTCAGCTCACTAATGCCTAACATACCAATCTTCATGCGTCCCATTTCATTTTTGACAACTTTCAATTTTCTTACGTTCATACTTGGTACATTCCATGTTCCGGTTATTAATGGATGTTTTTAACTGTTTCTTCCCACTGTGAGTCATGCCATATCAGCAAATGGAGGCTCCAAATGCATTAGTCCATCTCCATCATTAAGGTTGACTCTATTCTAATGAGCCAGCTCTTCCCCAGTTGTATTTTGAATGCCTTCCGACCTGAGGGACTCATCTTCCAGCACTTTATCGGACAGTGTTTCAGGGCTATTTAGAAAGATTCCATTATTATATCAGACAGTGTTTTACTGCTATTCATAAGGTTTTCACTGGCCAGTTCTTTGAGAAGTGGATGGCCCCTTCCTTCTTCTGAGTCTGCCTTAGTCTGGAAGCTCTGCTGAAACCTGTCCACCATGGGTGACCCTGCTGGTATATGAAATACCAATGGCATAGCCTCCAGCCTCACAGCAACACACAAGCCAGCATGAAAAAGTGAGTGGTGAGTGGTGGGAAACTCTGCATAGATATTTGAAAATAATCCCCTTGGTATTTGAAGTTGTCAGAGTGAACTTGCTGGAGATCAGACATCTTGTAAATGGTAGAGCCAGAATTTGAACCCTGATATGTGTACCTTCAAAGCTCTACACCACCCTGCCTTTCTAAAATTAAAATTTATTCTTAAAAGTATTTTCATAGGGTGATGTCTGAGATTATTTCAAATTTACAATAATTTACTGATATTATAGTAAGTTCTAGGCATTCAGTGAAAGATAACTTCATGGGCTTGGAATTGCTATAGTTGATTTCAAGTTTTATTCCACATTTTAGGGAAATATAAAACAAACAAAAGAACAAATAGAAGACCATACAAAGAGAATCGAGAAGCTGGAGGAGTACACAAAGACATGCATGTAGGTATAGTGAGAAGAATCTTTGCAGCTTTCTTCTGTCTCGAGGGTCTGGTGATCTGTATGTCAAATACATGCTCCCTTTATCCTTATGCTCCCACTCCACCATGCTTTTTTATGTCAGAGTATATAGTAAAAAATAATAGTTAACATATAATAAATGGGATGTTTAAATCTGGAAAATATAAATGTTTAACACTGGTAAAACTTAAAGCTCCCTTTTGGTGTTGATATGTTATAACAAAAGGTAATGAGTTACATCACGAAAGTTTGTACCACCTAAGTATTCTGAATTTCTTTTTAATTGGCATTTTCTTATTACTAAGCTCAGGATAATTGCTTTGATTACAGTGGTCTGTCATCGTTTTCAGTCTCCAGAAACATGTATCTTTTTAACAAACAAAAAAATGATCAAATCTCTTTTGCATATATTTGGTGATAGGTTTATTTCATTGTATTTGTTTATACCTTAAAACTTGGTACACTTCTCCATTCCTCCACAGTGCTAGCCTGAGTTTATTGTCTCTTCTAATGCATGACTCTCAGTTTTCCTTTTTTATGGTATTATTTTTTGTTGTTGGTATTATGTGTAGTGACTGCTTAAAAGAGAAGCAGCAGCAAGAGGAAACTCTACGGAGTGAAATCGAAAGAGCAAAATCAAGAATGTCTGAGGTTAATGAAGAACTGAGTCTTATTAGGAGCGAATTGCAGACCGCTGGAATTGACAGCCATGAGGGAAGACGCCAGCAAAAGAGAGCAGAGATCCTGGAGAACCTCAGAAGGCTGTACCCAGAGTCTGTGGTAATGAGACACAAACAGTTAACGCAGAACAGCTGAGCTGTCCTATTTGGGGAAAGCAGTATCTTTTTGTTTGGGATTAAAATTTTTGCCATTATTAGGAAGCAGTGTTATTTCAGAAATCTTTAAGATTTATGTTTGAAAATTTATATTTTAAATATAGCACCAAATAATTGGAATAAAACATATGTAACTTCCAGTTGTATCTACAGATAAGTAGTTTTTGGGAAGAAGCCATGACTTGAACATGATTCCCTGAAAGGCCATATATGGCCAGTACCCCTGAAGGACCTGGTTGCCATGAAGTAGTCTGGTCTTCCCCCACACACAAAGCCTCAAACCTCATGTTCTTCATGGTTTCAGGGTTTTTGTTTTTTTTTTCTTTCTTTTTATTAGGATTTGGGTGAAGATTTACAGAGTAAATTCACTTTTCATACAGCAGTTCACATATACTTTGTC